TGTTCAGTCTCAACTGTTACGAAGTTGATGTGCAGTTAATAAGCGCAATAAATATTTATACTGGAAAAGAAAATCGTGAGAGAATCGTGATCTCAATTCTAAGCAAAAAAAATCGTGATTCTCATTTTATGCAAAATCGTGCAGCCCTAGTGACCAGTCTCATAGTTTTGTAAAGGTTGGTTAAAAATTCACTTACCCATTACTTCTTTTATTAACAAGCTATAGAAATTCTTTCTACCACTTGGAATTGAATTGAAAGATTCAACAGCAACACGTCTCAGAAACACTGTCCCTGCTACACTGGACAGAAACTATTTGTATACTATATGTAAGTGTCATAACTGCTTCACTATCACACAAAAGTAAAAATCTGTTTTTTCATGCCCACCTTACTGCCTGGTTTTGGTCCTCTCTTCTTGGGAATTTTGACGGGTTCCTGGACTTTTTCTGGCTGGATGCTCTGTGGTCCCAGTGTAGAGCCCTTCTGATTCCAGTGCCCCGTCACTTTGGTTTTCCTGCGGCCTGGCTTGCGTCCTCTCTGGCCTGGAGGCCTGCCCACCGTGGGGCTGGGATGCATGACTGGGCTCTCCACACTTCCGTCTGTCAATGCTCCAAGGATTTTGGGCAGCACCACTGTAAGCGTAAAGAGAGAAAAGAAAATGGGAGAAGTTGAAAAGCTGCTTGGTATCGGCAACAAAATTAATTAAGAGTTATTGCTCTGTGCCTCTCAGTTAGGTATTCACATCTTCCATATTCAGCCTACAATTTAGAAGTCTAAATCTAGAACGCCTTTTGTGGTTATGTTATGTGAACAACAAGGGCAACGTGTTCAGTCACAATCCTAAATCAACTTCACCAAACACCTGCTGTGCAATATGCACACAACATTGCCACATAGCAGAATGAGTCATGTGCTTGATGCATTCAAGTAGCCTTTGTGCTGTTGGCTGCAATGTCCTCACATGCTTCAAATTGAAGCCAAATAAGAAGCTGACTGAGTCACGCACAGACATTAAGTACTCTCTGTGCATGTGGAAGGTACTTGGTTTTCTGATCTCTACTCTAAGACTTTCTGAAAAGCTAAAGGTAAAGCGTGTTAACTTCAATGGATGACAAAATCCAGGTTGTTTGCAACATCTGAACTTCTCTCAGTGGCACTAAAGCCAAGAAGGTCAAACTTTCTTAGCAACAAAATAGTTCTTTCTCAAACTACGTCCTTCAGTTATAAGCCCAAGGACACCACAATGCAATTCTCACACTCAAGCACTTTTTGCAGTCTTAGGGAACAGGTAGCGAGCAAAAAAAAAAGAAGAAAAAGAGAAGAGTGGTCACATCAAAAAGTTCAATTTTTAAGACTGAATTTAAACTTTCAGTCATTTTTTTCCGCACACAAACAAAATCAGAAAACTCAAGACTGCTGAGAAACTGACAGCAATTTGACTTTGCACTCTTTTCCAGTACGGCATCACCACTGAGTGGTAACAAAGCCACTAATAACATTAAGCCACAGAAGAAAGAATACACACTCTTTTTGTTTGGTGCTCAAGGGCTGAGAAATTATTTTTGAACTGACTAATAAACAATCTACCAAAGATCCGGCTCATTCTTTGATCATGCCATAACTCTAAACCAAGTTTAATAAAATTCAGTGTGGCAGATTGCATAATTGTGTTGAAAGCCAAACAGAGACTTATTTTTAAATTTACATTTATTTTATATAAACTATTTCCCATGAAAATAACCAAGTCTGTGGATATGTTTAATAAAAGTGCTAATTCTGTTTATTAAACAAAATTAATTTTCATTTCATTGGTGGTAGTGGAGTAGTATTTGATATGCCTCAAAATCTGATCAGATACAAATGATCTCTTTAGGCAGATCCCACTAAAAGTACAGGCAAGTAAAGTATATGCATCAATTTGGTGTTACATCATATATAACATAATGAAATCACACAATCAGGCGTTATCTTTGTAAACTGTTATCCACTGTACCCTGCAAAATGAAGATCAAGAAAAAGCAAAAGAAAGACTAAAAGCTATCAGGTAGCAACTGAAAGAAGAAAAATAAGCAGTTGTTAAATACAGAGATTACAAAAGTTGGTTACCTCTTCTTCTACCTTTAAGACTCTGCTGGCCAGAAAAAAACAAGGAGCGACATAGAAAAAGCACAAGAATTAAAACGCAAATGATGAAGCAAGCTGCTGCTAAAACAGCAGCAGTATCTCCAGAATATGAACACACGGCCCTTCACTCCTGAATGTGAAGCACTTCTGAAATCACGTAATCCCCAGAGAACAGGCGCATGTTAAAAACATTAACAGAGGGCCTCTACTAAATACAAGAAAACAACCAAGCAATCCGTGTACTTTACATAAGCCATTACAGCTGGCAAAACTTCAAGAATGTGTGCATGCAAAAACAACCGCACAGAAAAACAGAGCCACAGTATAGTCGGAATATCTGGCTTCATATGCACCTGCGATTTAAAACACGCTTTCACACACACACTGCGCAACCTAATGTGCGCTGGTATTCATCCTGGATCAGCTGGGGACAGATTTACGAGAGGAGCGGCCACATTCATTAACACAGGTCTTGGCCAGCGGGGCTGTATTTATTAAACACGTTCACACCAACAGACCAATCAATGCAACACACAGTCTGCAAGCTACTGCTACGTTTCACAGAGAAGTCACAGAGAAGCTAAAGAGAAAAAAAGAGGGAAGGAAAACAAACAAAAAAAACAAGACAGCTGATTGATCCTAAACAGATTGAACAAATCCTAGATAATATGTTTAACGGTGTAAAGAGATTGAGGTTACAATCAATTGCACTGCTTGTAAATACAACCAAGCAAGCGCTTAACAAGCAAACCCTTGTTTTTTTTCTTTATCCCATGAGTGCACTGAGTTCACCGAGTTCACAAAGCCACCACTACCAGCTTCATATTACAGCAACATAACTTCTCAAGCGCTTTTGATCTAATGCTCTATGACTGCATTTCAGTAATTTCATTCATTTTACTCACCGTCTGTCTCAAACGAAAGTCAAAAGTGTCTGATTGTCAGCACAGCTGTCCTCAAATTCACCCTCTCCTCCTGCCCTGTCCTCCTCTCCCACTCTTCCTCTGACTCCTCCTTTTCTCCCTTTTTCCTCCCTTCTCTTCTTTTCTCCTCCCACATCTACTGACAATGTAAACAATCCACTTTTCACAGCTTATGCCTGTCTTTTCTCTTGATTTCTGCCTCTTTAATCTTTCCAAGTCAGACTTCGACAGCCAGTGTGCCAATGAGAGGCCTGTGGTGGGGCACACAGACTCATTTCACCCGCGTCATGCCCTGATTCTGCTAACTGGGCAAGTGCCAGGCCTACATAAAACACTAGCAAGCTACAAAGACATATCCTCCATTTCCCCCTCTCAATCGGCTCCTTCACATATTGTGGATTCTACACACGAGGACAGCTGACCCCGTGGCTGATAACCCTTGTAAGCCACTTCTACCTTCTGTGGTTCTTCTGTAACACATTTCCAGCTTTGAGTCTGACTTTTATTCCTGATGTTAAACAAGTTAAGACAGCTACAATGTCTGAAATATAACTGCTTTACAAGAGCAATGATTTTTTTACCACAAGTCACAAAGGAAGCAATATATCACAAAGAACTGCTGCATTGTAAACAGTCTTCTAAAAGAGAAGTAAAAACCGCAGGCATGCCTACTTCAACATTTTACAAACCAAACTGAATACAAATGGACACTGAGAGCCAACTTTGCACTTAAAAAACCCCCATGCAAATAGGAAGGAAATTTTTAACAACACTTTAACCATATGCAGTGTAAATCTGGACATACAGCAGATGGACAAAATAAAAGCAGAAATCTCATAGTGTAGTGAAATCTAATCCATGAGTCAGGAATAAATAATGCCTTTATCGGGAGTTATAATTTTTTTTCCAGACTTAGCCACAGATGTGTTGATGAACTACGTTGATATCCATACAATTTCTGCACATAAATAAACCTTTTAAAGTAAAATAATGCAATTTGAGCACCCAGCCGTGGTTATTTTCATTTTATTTTGGAATTACAATTTTGGTGTTACAATGCAAAGATAATCAGGATGACAGAGAAAGAACCTCTAAGGAAGTAAAAGCCGTTTTTGGAGTAGAGCCGGCAAAAGCTTTGTCTGCCGTCATTCTCCAAAGCTTCTGTGCAATCCCTAGAGGCCCCATCTGTACCCGTCAACCTCACATGCACCAGGTAGGGACTAGCAGTTGCTCTTGCATGACAAGCTTTGCAGTCAAAAACACCCTTTAGTCCAGGACCAGGGCTGCCCATTTGATAACTAATTTTAATCTTGATTGTGACATTAGCTTCCCACGTGTAAATGGACATTAACCAAGAAAGAAAGCAGCAAATGCTGTACAACACAACTATATTATTCAACCACCTGAAAACAAGACAAACTGCAGTATAATTAATGCACGAAGGACTAGAGAAACAATGCAATGATTATTAAAATCAATCATCCAACATCAACTCAGACAACACATGCGTACTACTTGTCACTAAGATGCACTAGAATCACTGACATAGTGTCCAAAGATATGTGTCCAAAATATGTGGTGAGTAGAGAAAGGTTTCAGGAAAATAGTCAAATGACTGGACAAAAGATATATTATCAAAGTGAAAATACCTGCATTATGTGCAAAACATTACAGGGGAAATTTAGAGGAACACAAGGCTACTGAGTACTATGAGTTTTATTCACATCCATTACGTAGATACAATGAAAGGAGTGATAGACTTTATATTTAGTTTCTAGGAAGTGCACTTTGATCAGGTGAAAAAAAAACCCAGAACCTATTTCAAAACCTTATTTAATTAAAATTAAATAATTTAATCAGCAACCCTATAGGAAATGATACTAGAAAATAGGGCTGGGCGATATGGCCTAAAATCCATATCGCGATATAATTTGAAGCACATGCGGTAACGATATATATCGTGATATATTCTTTTCTTCTGTATAACATATTTTCAACACTATAAGGCACACTTAAAATCCTTTAATTTTCTCAAAAATCGAGAGAGTGCCTTATGTATGAATTCTGGTTGTGCTTACTAACCTCGAACTGATTTTGGCGTGCAGAAATCTGTTAAAAAATGTTTTAGTACAACTTTGGTAAGCCGCACTGGCTTGATGGATTGTCAGAGCATTATGGCTGCAGTAGTGAGGAGCCTCACGGAGTAATCTGGGTCCAAAACTCCGTCCACTTCAGGTCCCAAAGTCAAACAAACACTGAGAGTTAAAAACGGTCTAAATTCTTTCATCTTTAATAAAATCATCAGCGATGCTGCTTTACCAGGTGTAACAATTAAGTTTAACATCCAGGCATCCATGAAAACAGAATTGATTAAATTTAACGGAGTTACAAGTTAACAGGAAGTTAGCTCGCTAGTTTCCACCTAAACATTTCATACCATGTTCTGACTGAGAGATTTTTGTAACTAATTAAAACGTACAGCTCTGCTACCACTTCCAACATAAATGAAGAGAGAAAACTAAACAGTAGTGGCGTTTGCAGGGTTACTGAAGTTGGACTACCTAGTATATAATGTTGTGCTACGTGATTGCTAGCGACACAGCTATGTTAGCATAACATTAGCACAGTGAAGCTGGAGGATGAACGCCAACTTTTTTTTCACTCATTAAAAGTTAACGTGAGGGATTCTGGTTGGGGACAAATGCAATCGCATAGCAGGATGCTATACACGGGCCAAACTTCAGTCAGGAGAACATCTGAGATAATTCATCCACAATACGAGGTTAGTTATTAAGATACTGCAACAACATGGGAATAGAACAGCTGCGAGAGAATTCAACATTAATGAATCAATGTTATGGAAGTGGAGGAAGCGCAGTTTTTGGCTTTCCCCATATTTCAAAAGTGCTTCATCTCTTTGCTATGACTGTCGCCCGGCATAATTTGCAGATGATAATGGTTTTAGCTGCTGCGATGCTTTCGACCAAAACAGGCGCAGCTTGATGACATCATCAACATGCGCTATCGCGATAGAGCGGTATAGTCAAAATCTCTATCGTTGGCCAAATTTATATCGTTTCTATCGTATATCGTTTATATCGCCCACCCCTAGCTGCAGCATTGGAGTATGAAGCTTAAATCCCCTAAGTAGCATACTTTTGCACAGCTTTCTATTGCTGATAAAACATGGAGATGCCAGCTAACTGACAGTTGATATTTTGATACTTGGTGAGCTCAAGAAAATGCCACAATATTGTTTTGAATTGATTTTTTTTCTTGTTTTATTTTATGGGTAACATGGGCACAGTGGTACACACCTACGCCAATGCCTCTACACATGCTGTTACTCATTCTTGCAAAACTTAGTAACAGTGTCTCAGTTTTCTGTTTATTGCTTTTGCTGATGTGAAATGGGCCAGCTTATGTGATGTGGATAACTGAAATCTGTAAATGCATAAGGTAGAAATCATTTTTTGAGACTGCAGTAAAGATTTAATCGCTCTGTAACAACAGGGCTAATTGATTGGCTTGGGATAGAAGTGAGCAAGAAAATTAAGTTCTGTGGAGAAAAATTGTTCAGTGGCTTCTTCACTGTAATGCTGTGGTTAGTGTGGCATAAACTCATTATTGTAGTGTTAAGCATTTTTCTAGCGGTGAATGGTATTCTGTTGTATCAGCTAATTTCTGCTTTTTCTTGCTTTCTTTTTTTAAAATCAGTGGTCGCAGACTGACTTCCCAGGGAACCAGAGATCTGGACAGAATTGCTGGCCAGGTGAGAAACTCATTTATTCTGTTTTAAAAAAAATAAAAATCACCAAACTGTCTAAATGCTAAGAAGTTTGCATACACTTAACAATAACTCAACTGATTAAATGATCCTAATAAAACTTTATTCAGAGATGGCATCGTGGTCTTTACCTTCTTATATGGTACAGTGGAGGCTTGACATATTCAAGGGGTCTAAAACCTAATCTAATCTAACCTAATCTAAAACAGACGCAGCTTGATGACATCATCAACATGCGCTATCGCGGTAGAATCTCTATCGTTGGCCAAATTTATATAGTTTCTATCGTATATCGTTTATATCGCCAACCCCTACTAGAAAATAGGAATTTTAAATATCACATTATAGCTTGCATCCAAATTTCATGTCCCATTTGAGTGCTGATCTCACTTTTATATTTCACATCTACCTTTCTTTCAGGTTAAACCCCAAAATGCACTATTTTCACTGTGCCACAAACTTAAGGTACGCTTAAAAACAACAAAGAAAACAAAATGAATATATACAAAATACAATATTATTTCCTAAATAATAACTAAATAATACCCAGAGAGTGAGCTGCCTTGGCTGAGGATTGCACTCTCAAAGTGTTGCTTGCTTTTTTTTTTTTTTTTTTTTAATTTCTTCTAATAACTGCACTTATTTATATGAATGAGCAGGACCAAATTTTTTAATTAATGCAACAAAGTTTACATTAGCAGCAATGCATGACAGCATGAATGTGAAGGCAGTGTTATATTTGAATGAAAGTGCTATAAAACATTTCTGTCACAAAAAAAATATTAATGAATTACTGTAATTTTAATATCAATCAATCAATATCACAGGGATCGCTGTTTTAGTCATAATTGCGCAGTTCTAGCCATGAATCCGATATAGTGTATTTTATCATCAATAAAACTGTTTTTTTTAAATATCTTGCTGTATTTTGTATAAGTTCATACTCAAGTTTTAAAAAACCAAACACTTAAGCTCTTCTGTTATACCTGTATGCAAAAAATACACTGCACCCCAAAGATTTCATAGTTCAGCAATATTGATCAATCTAATAAACTTAAACTTGCACCATCCTCCCTATTCTGGTATTTTAAAGAGTACTTAGAGGACATATTAAACAACCTAACTAATAGGGTTGCCAACTCCCAGCAAAAAAATAGGGAACCACCCCCCGCCCTCCGCCTCGTGATGCTTAATGGACGTAATCGACTTTAATTTAATGCATGCGTAAAACAAATGCACAGAAAACAATTATTTTTCTACAATAATTAAATAGATTCTTCAACAGAATTGCAGACTGCACAGATGGTACCTTCTCAAAAGAAACAGTACTATAAC